GTGATCGTTTGTGATCGTTTGTGATCGTTTGTGATCGTTTGTGTTAGTTTGTGATAGTTTGTGACAGTTTCTCACGTCGTCCTGGTTTCCTCTCAGACTCTGGAGGACTCCGGTCGTGTGGTTTGTGAAAGTCCCTGTAGCTGCAGCTCGAGGATCAGACGCTCGTCACGATGGATTTATGATTCTGTTTTTACCCCAGCGGCTGATAAAGGAACATGTGACCGCGGAAATAGAACCATGAGAAGAAGACAAACTGCTCCACGAACACACACTCTGGCCTATTTAAAGAACCAGAACATGGAGCCCATTACACACACACACATACGCACACACGCACACACACACACACACACACACACACACACACACACACACACACACACACACAGGCCCAGGAGCACCGAGGAACACCTCCACCCTCCACCTACTGCCACAGGAGAAACAGAGAGAGGAGACTGGACAGGAGAGGAGAGAGGGAAAGAGCGAGGAGGGAAAAGAGAGAAAAGAGAGGATGAGGAAGAGAGACGGAGAGAGAGGAGAGAGGGCAAGAAGAGGGGTAAAGAGAGAGGAGAGAGGAGGGGAGAGAGAGAGGAGAGAGAGTGAGGAGGAAAGAGAGGGGGAGAAGGAGAGAGAGGAGAGACAAGGGGATAGAGACAGGAAGAGGAAAGGGCGATGAGAAGAGGGGGAAAGATAGAGGAGAGAAGGGGAGGAGGAGAGAGAGGAGAAGGAGAGAGAGTGAGGAGGAGAGGGCGACAAAGAGAGGAGGAAAGAGAGAGGAGAGAGGGTGAGGAGGAGAGAGAGGAGAGAGAAGAGAGAAGAGGATAGAGAGAGGAGAGAGAAGGAGAGAGAGAGAGGAGAGAGAGGGAGAGAAGGGGATAGAGAGAGGAGAGAGAGTGAGGAGGAAAGAGAGGAGAGAGGGAGAGAAGGAGAGAGAGAGAGAGAGAGAGAGAGAGAGAGGGATAGAGAGAGAAGAGAGTGAGGAGGAGAGAGAGAGAGAGGAGAGAGAGGAGGAGAGGAGAGAAGAGGAGAGAGAGAGAAGAGAGGAGAAGGAGAGAGGAGGAGGAGAGGAGGAGAGAGGAGAGGGAAGAGAGAGGAGAGAGGAGGAGAAAGAGAGGAGAGAGGAGAGAAGAGAGAGAGGAGAGAGAAGGAGGGAAAGCGATGAGGGAAGAGACGGGGATGAGGGCGGAGCAAGGAGAGAGGAGGAGGAGAGAGGAGAGGGGGATGAGGAGAGGGGGAGAGAGTTACAGCAGGGGTTCCCACATGAACCATATTTGTCCCGTGAAAACACAGATGACCTCTACTTCTACTGCGATTCATTACACAAGTATTACAGTAGTAGTAGTAGTAGTAGTAGTAGTAGTAGTAGTAGTAGTAGTAGTAGTAGTAGTAGTAGTAGTAGAACTAGACCAGGTTCAAAGGCCAAAACCAGGACTAAGTCAGGATATAACGAGATCTAAGCCGAGACTCAGTCAGGTCTAAACTAGAACTAAACCAGGACTGAAGTGGGTCTGAACCAGAATCTAAACTCTGTGTGTGTTTGTGTCACTTTGGTCTCCACAATTTAGCAGCTGCATTCGTCCTTCTCCCGGGGTGTGGTTCTCCTCCTCGGGGTGTAGTTCTCCTCCTCCCGGGGTGTAGTTCTCCTCTCAGGGTGTGGTTCTTCTCCTGGGGTGTGGTTCTCCTCCTCCCGGGGTGTAGTTCTCCTCCTCCTGGGGTGTATTTCTCCTCCTGGGGTGTGGTTCTCCTCCCGGGGTGTGGTTCTCCTCCTGGGGTGTGGTTCTTCCTCCCGGGTGTGGTTCTTCTCCCGGGGTGTGGTTCTCCTCCCGGGGTGTAGTTCTCCTCCTGGGGTGTGGTTCTCCTCCCGGGATGTGGTTCTCCTCTCGGGGTGTGGTTCTTCTCCTGGGGTGTGGTTCTCCTCCTCCCGGGGTGTGGTTCTCCTCCTGGGTTGTCTCCTCCGGGTGTGGTTCTCCTCCTGGGGTGTATTTCTCCTCCTCCTGGGGTGTGGTTCTCCTCCCGGGGTGTAGTTCTTCTCCCGGGGTGTGGTTCTCCTCCTGGGGTGTGGTTCTCCTCCTGGGGTGTAGTTCTCCTCCGGGGTGTGGTGATTTTGGTGCTTGTACGGATTCACCTTTTACAAAAAACAGACGAGTTTAATATAGAGTCTCCTTCAGCACAAAGACTGGTGCTGGTTTAGTCCTGGTTCGGTCCTGGTTTAGTCCTGGTTTAGTCCTGGTTCGGTCCTGGTTCAGACCTGGTTCAGACCTGGTTTAGTTCTGATTTAGTCCTGACCCGCCTTTAATCAGGACGCAGGGGACACAATGCATGTTCATACACTTCCAAAAAAAGCATGGAAAATTGCCCTAAAAAAAAAAATCTACGAAATAGTGAAACCGCGAAAGGTGAACCGCGATACAGCGAAGGACGACTGTATTTTACTGAATTATTTTGTTACAGCTACAGTTTTGTTGTTTGTTTAGAGGAAGGAAACTCATTTATGCGACACATTGTTTTGACGATTAAAATGTTTGTGTTTCATAAGAACTTTGCTCAAGATGTGATTTAACAAAGTTTTTTAGTATCACAGACATGATTTAGCCATGAAATATATCGTATCGAGTCGTATCGAATCGAAAGCTCACTGTATCGTATCTGCAACTTCTTAACGATACTCAGCCTTAGTCCTGACCGAGACTCTGGCTCAAGATCTGGACATGGTTCCAGTGAGTTTTAATTGAACATTTTGGATTGGTTGCATTTCTGCCTCAAACTGCATGCTGCCATTGTGCCCACGGGCAAAACACTGACATAAGCAACCTTGATGTCCCTGTAAGTCAGGGGTGTCAAACTCATTTTGGTCCGGGGGCCGTATCCAACCGACTTTGATCCCAAAGGGGCCGAATCAGAAAACTCATGTCATATAAACCCCAAAAACAACAAGAAGTTCAATTATTGGTGCAGAGAAACACAAATCTATTACATTTTTGAATTGATGAACTCTGTCTTTTACAAAATATTATAATATTATGAACAACTTGAAACTTTAAGAAAAATACAATTTCAACACAAAGTTTGAACATGAACTTGTCTGTAAACAGGAATAAGTCCATTTTTGTTGTAAAATTCTGCACTCGGCTCCACTTTTCTCATGTTGGACATTTTTCTGATGAGGGTGTCACGGTCAACAGTCAAAACGATCGTCCTTTAAGAGCGTTTGGAAAGAGACAAGTCTTCATTTGTGCTGCTCTGGTGGGAGGGGCCACGTACAGAGACGCTGGAGACGCTGCTGTGATAAACACCACAGAAAATTAACAACATTTTAATAGAAAATATCATCAAAATATTTTAGTAGGAAATCAGCCGAGGGCCAGATTAAAGATCTTGGAGGGCCGGATCTGGCCCCGGGGCCGTATGTTTGACCCCTGTGCTGTAAATCCTCCTGTACTGTACGTGATTGTATTGACTTGTCCCGGTGCCGTTGGACAGTTCTTCTAATGAGAACATTGATCACCTGTTTGGAGTTTTAGCGATGTTGAATCCTGTAGTTTTCTCATTAACGAAGTCACTGTGTGGAAAATGAAAAGTCGTGCAGGAGATGGATGAGACGGGACCGACCTCGATCATTCACACGACGCGAGGGAAAGACCGGACCATCTAAAGAAGGACTCAGGCTCTTCTGCTTTCAGATCAAGGAGCATTTTGTTCAAAGTGCACATTTTAAAACCATTTCAGACGCGTTAACACCTGAGAGAAAACACAAATCTGAAACACAAGTCACTGGACACGATTCTGTCCTCAGGTCAAGTCTTAGTTTGACTTTATTTATCTCTTTCTGCACAGGTCCTGATCCGTGTGTCGTTTCTTCATTCGTTTTTCTAAATAAAACCAAAAATAAGAAAATTAAATAACAACTATTTTCTTCATTATTTGTTTCCAAAATCAAAATGAAAAACACATAACGGAAAATGATTCCTGTCCCGGTCTGAGTTCTGGTCTTAGTTCTGGTCTGGTCCCAGTTTCATACCTGGCCTGGTCCCGGTCTCAGTCCCAGTCTCAGTCCCGGTCTCAGTCCAAGTCCTCTTCCCGGTCTCATTCTGATCTCAGTCCTGGTCCTGGTCTGGTCTGGTCCGTCAGTCTCTGGTCCCAGTCTCAGTCTTGGTCTCAGTCCTAGTTTGGTCCCGGCCTCAGTCCCGGTCTGGTCCCAGTCTCAGTCCCGATCTGGTCCTGATCTCAGTCCTGGTCTCAGTCCCGTCTCAGTCCCGGCCTCATTCCCGGCCTCAGTCCCGATCTCAGTGCTGGTCTGGTCCTGGTCTGGTCCCAGTTTCAGTCCTAGTCTGGTCCCAGTCTCCGTCCCGGTCTTGGTCCTAGTCTCAGTTCCGGTCTCAGTCCCGATCTGGTCCCAGTCTCTGTCTCAGTCCCGATTTCAGTCCCAGTATGGTCCTGGTCTCAGTCCTAGTCTGGTTCCGACCTCAGTCCTGATCTGGTTCTGGTCTGGTCCCAATCTCAGTCCTGGTCTGGTCCTGGTCTCAGTCCTGGTCTGGTCCTGGTCTCAGTCCTGGTCTGGTCCTAGTCTCAGTCCTGGTCTGATCCTTTTCTGGTCCCAGTTTCAGTCCTAGTCTGGTCCCGGTCTCAGTTCGGGTCTCAGTCCTGATCACCCGACAGTCTACATGGGCGCAACTCTGGGCCCGAGTCCTGGTTCAGTCCTGGTTCAGTCCTGGTTCAGTCCTGGTTTAGTCCTGGTTCAGTCCTGGTTCAGTCCAGTCCTGGTTCAGTCCTGGTTCAGTCCTGGTTCAGTCCTGTTCCGGTTTCCGTTTCCGTTTTTCATCCGTTTTCATTTTTTCATTTAAACACAAAAACGAAAACTGAAAAAACGAATCATTTTCCGTTTTTTCATTTTGGTTTTAGAGACAAATAAAGAAGAAAATTGTTTTTTGTTTTTTTTTTCGTTTTCTTATTTTTGATTTTATTTTGAAAAACGACCGGTCCTGCCTCTTGTTTCTGCGCAGGTCCTGAGTCTCGGGGCCGACGTTCTTCCCGAGTACAAACTGCAGACTCCCAGGATCCACAAATGGACCATTCTGCACTACAGTCCGTTCAAAGCCGTGTGGGACTGGGTCATTCTGCTGCTCGTCATCTACACCGCCATCTTCACGCCGTACTCCGCCACCTTCCTGCTCAGGTAAACACCCGCCCGCCCCGGGACAGACCCACGGAGGAGAGGCTGCCGGTCCGGTCCGCCGGCCCCTCTGACCGGCAACGAAACGAAAGAACACGAAAAGAACATTTAGGACTAAAACAGGACTAAAACCAGGACTGAACCAGGACTGAACCAGGACTAAACCAGGACTAAAGGACTAAACAGGACTAAACCAGGACTAAACAGGACTAAACGGAACTAAAACAAAACAGGAACTAAACCAGGACTAAAAGGACTGGACTGAACAGGACTAAACCAGGACTAACCAGGACTAAACCAGGACTAAAACCAGGACTGAAAGGACTAAAACCAGGACTGAACCAGGACCAGGACTAAAACAGGACTGAACCAGGACTAAACCAGGGACTAAACCAGGACTAAACCAGGACTAAACCAGGACTAAAAGGACTAAAACCAGGACTAAACCAGGACTAAAACAAAACAGGACTAAACCAGGACTAAAAGGACTAAAACAACCAGGACTGAACCAGGACTAAAACAGGACTAAACCAGGACTGAAAGGACCAGGACTAAACAGGACTAAAACAGGACTAAAACAGGACTAAAACTGGACTAAAACTGGACTAAAACAGGACTAAACCAGGACTAAACAGGACTGAACCAGGACTAAAACCAGGACTAAAACAGGACTAAAACAGGACTGAACCAGGACTAAACAGGACTGAAGGACTAACCAGGACTAAACCAGGACTAAAACAGGACTAAACCAGGACTAAAACCAGGACTAAAAACAGGACTAAAAACTAAACAGGACTAAACCAGGACTAAACCAGGACTAAAACAGGACTAAACAGGACTGAACCAGGACTGAAAAGGACTAAAACAGGACTAAAACAGGACTGAAACTAAAACAGGACTAAACGGACTAAACCAGGACTAAACAGGACTAAACCAGGACTAAAAGGACTAGGACTAAAACAGGACTAAACCAGGACTAAACCAGGACTAAAACTAAACAGGACTACTAAACAGGACTAAACCAGGACTGGACTAAAACCAGGACTAAAACAGGACTAAAACCAGGACTAAAACAGGACTAAAGGACTAAAAACAGGACTAAACCAGGACTAAAACAGGACTAAACAGGACTAAAACTGGGACTAAAACAGGACTAAACCAGGACTAAACCAGGACTAAAACTAGGACTAAAAACAGGACTAAACCAGGACTGAACCAGGACTAAACCAGGACTAAAACCAGGACTACCAGGACTAAAACAGGACTAAAACAGGACCAGGACTAAACAGGACTAAACAGGACTGAACCAGGACTAAACCAGGACTAAAACAGGACTAAAACAGGACTAAAACCAGGACTAAAACCAGGACTAAACAGGACTAAACAGGACTAAAACCAGGACTAAAACAGGACTAAAACAGGACTAAACAGGACTAAAGGACTAAACAGGACTAAAACAGGACTGAAACCAGGACTAAAACAGGACTAAAACAGGACTGGAACCAGGACTAACCAGGACTAAAACAGGACTAAAACCAGGACTAAAACAGGACTAAAACAGGACTAAACCAGGACTGAACCAGGACTAAAACTAAACTAAAGGACTAAAAAGGACTGAAACCAGGACTGACAGGACTAAAACAAGACTGAAAAAACAGGACTAAACAGGACTAAAACCAGGACTAAACCAGGACTAAAACAGGACTAAAACAGACAGGACTAAACCAGGACTAAACCAGGACTAACCAGGACTAAAACAAGGACTAAACAGGACTAAACCAGGACTGAACCAGGACTAAACCAGGACTAACCAGGACTAAACCAGGACTAAACAGGACTAAAACAGGACTAAAACAGGACTAAGGACTAAACAGGACTAAAACAGGACTAAAACTAAGGACTAAACCAGGACTAAAACAGGACTAACCAGGACTAAAACAGGACTGAACCAGGACTGAACCAGGACTAAAACAGGACTGAAAACAGGACTAAACCAGGACTGAACCAGGACTAAACCAGGACTAAAACTAAACTAAACCAGGACTAAAACCAGGACTAAAAAGGACTGAAAGGACTAAAACAGGACTAAACCAGGACTAAACCAGGACTGAACCAGGACTGAAACCAGGACTAAACCAGGACTAAACAGGACTGAAACCAGGACTAAACAGGACTAAACCAGGACTAAGGACTGAACCAGGACTAAAACAGGACTAAACCAGGACTAAACCACTAAACCAGGACTGAACCAGGACTGAAACCAGGACTAAAACAGGACTAAACCAGGACTAAACCAGGACTAAAACTAAGGACTGAAACTGGACTAAAACTAGGACTAAACCAGGACTGAAACCAGGACTGAACCAGGACTAAACCAGGACTAAACCAGGACTGAACCAGGAACTGGACTAAACCAGGACTAAACCAGGACTAAAACAGGACTAAACAACAGGACTAAACCAGGACTGGAAAAACCAGGACTAAAACAAGGACTAAAGGACTACAGGACTAAACCAGGACTGAACCAGGACTGAAACCAGGACTGAACCAGGACTAAAACAGGACTAAAGGACTGAACCAGGACTGAAAGGACTAAAACAGGACTGACTAAACCAGGACTGAAAACCAGGACTAAACTAACAGGACTAAAACAGGACTAAACCAGGACTAAACCAGGACTAAACCAGGACTGAAACCAGGACTAAACCACTAAACCAGGACTAAAACTAGGACTAAACCAGGACTAACCAGGACTGAACCAGGACTGAACTAAACCAGGACTAAACCAGGACTAAACCAGGACTGACTGACCAGGACTGACTAAAACAGGACTAAACCAGGACTAAACCAGGACTAAACCAGGACTAAAACAGGACTAAACCAGGACAAAACCAGGACTGAACCAGGACTAAAACAGGACTAAACCGGTCTCAGTTCCAGCCTCAGTCCTGATCTTGTCCTGGTCTAGTCCCAGACTAAGTCCTGGTCTCAGTCCTAATCACCCGACAGTCTAGTCCTTGTTCAGTCCTTGTTTAGTCCCGGTTTAGTCCTGTTTTAGTCCTGTTTTAGACCTGGTTTTAGTCCTGGTTCAGTCCGTTATCCATTTTTTCCCCCATTTTTCATTTAAACACAGAATCGATGGTTTTGGAGACAAATAATGAAGAAAATCGTTTTGTTTTTTGTTTTTTTTATTTTGAAAAAACGAATGAACGAACGACAACCGGATTGATCAGAATCTTTTGCGAGGACGTTGCTTTTGCAGAAACAGAATCGTTCTAACAAATGAAAATGTGTGGTTGATTTGTGGCTGTGATTCCGTCAGTGACCAGGAGGAGGCGGCGATGCAGACCTGTGGATACTCCTGCTCTCCTCTCAACGTCGTGGACTTCATCGTGGACATCATGTTCATCGTCGACATCGTCATCAACTTCAGGACCACCTACGTCAACTCCAACGATGAGGTTCTGCTCTTCCGTAGTCCTGGTTTAGTCCTGGTTTAGTCCTGGTTTAGTCCTGGTTTAGTCCTGGTTTAGACCTGGTTTAGTCCTGGTTTAGTCCTGGTTTAGTCCTGGTTTAGTCCTGGTTTAGTCCTGGTTTAGACCTGGTTTAGTCCTGGTTTAGTCCTCGTTTAGTTCCTGGTTTAGTCCTGGTTTAGTCCTGGTTTAGTCCTGGTTTAGTCCTGGTTTAGGTTTTAGTCCTGGTTTTTTCCTGGTTTAGTCCTGGTTTAGTCCTGATTTAGACCTGGTTTAGTCCTGGTTTAGTCCAGTCCTGGTTTTAGTCCTGGTTTAGTCTGGTTTAGTCTGGTTTAGTCTGGTTTAGACCTGGTTTAGTCCTGGTTTAGTCTCGTTTTAGTCCTGGTTCAGTCTTGGTTTAGTCTCGGTTTAGTCCTGGTTTAGTCCTGGTTCAGTCCTGGTTTAGTCCAGGTTTAGTCCAGGTTTAGTCCTGGTTTAGTCCTGGTTCAGTCTTGGTTCAGTCTCTGTTTTAGTCCTGGTTTAAATCTGATTTAAACTCCTTCTCTCCTTCCCTCTCTCCTTCCTTCTTTCCTTCTCTCCTTCCTTCTTTCCTTCTCTCCTTCCTTCTTTCCTTCTCTCCTTCCTTCTTTCCTTCTCTCCCTCCCTCCTTCTCTCCTTCCCTCATTCCCTCTCTCCTTCCTTCCCTCTCTCCTTCCTTCCCTCCTTCCTTCCCCCCCTCCCTCCTTCTCTCCTTCCCTCTCTCCTTCCTTCTTTCCTTCTCTCCTTCCTTCTTTCCTTCTCTCCCTCCCTCCTTCTCTCCTCCCCTCGTTCCCTCTCTCCTTCCTTCCTTCCCTCCCTCCTTCTCTCCTCCCTCCCTCCCTCCCTCCCTCCTTCCCTCGTTCCTTCCCTCCTCCGGTCGGTGTTCAGGTGGTGAGTCAGTCGGCTCGGATCGCGGTTCATTATTTCAAGGGTTGGTTCCTCATCGACATGGTGGCCGCCATCCCCTTCGACCTGCTCATCTACAGGTCCGGAGAAGAGGTGGCCCGAGGAGGAGCCGAGGGAGAGGTACGAGCACTTTATTCACTCGCTCACGGGCGATGAGAGGATGAGGAGACGATGAGAGGATGAGGAGACGATGAGAGGATGAGGAGGCGATGAGAGGATGAGGAGACGATGAGAGGATGAGGAGACGATGAGAGGATGAGGAGACGATGAGGAGAGGATGAGGAGAGACGATGAGAGGATGAGGAGAGATGAGGATGAGGATGAGGAGGACGATGAGAGGATGAGGAGATGATGAGGAGACGATGAGAGGATGAGGGAGACGATGAGGAGAGGATGAGAGGATGAGGAGACGATGAGAGAGATGAGGAGAGAGACGATGAGAGGATGAGGAGACGATGAGAGGATGAGGAGACGATGAGATGAGGAGAGATGAGGAGAGGATGAGGAGACGATGAGAGGATGAGGAGACGATGAGAGGATGAGGAGACGATGAGGAGAGGATGAGGAGACGATGAGAGGATGAGGAGACGATGAGAGGATGAGGAGACGATGAGGAGATGAGGAGAGGATGAGGAGACGATGAGAGGATGAGGAGACGATGAGGAGAGATGAGGAGACGATGAGAGAGGATGAGGAGACGATGAGACGATGAGAGGATGAGGAGACGATGAGAGATGAGATGAGGAGACGATGAGAGGATGAGGAGACGATGATGAGAGGATGAGGAGGATGAGGAGAGAGATGAGAGGATGAGGAGAGATGAGAGATGAGACGATGAGAGGAGGATGAGAGATGAGAGGATGAGAGACGATGAGGAGGATGAGGAGACGATGAGAGGATGAGGAGGCGATGAGAGGATGAGGAGACGATGAGAGGATGAGGAGACGATGAGGAGAGGATGAGGAGACGATGAGAGGATGAGGAGACGATGAGGAGAGGATGAGGAGACGATGAGAGGATGAGGAGACGATGAGAGGATGAGGAGACGATGAGAGGATGAGGAGACGATGAGAGGATGAGCGATGAGAGGATGAGGAGACGATGAGAGGATGAGGAGACGATGAGAGGAGATGAGAGGATGAGAGGAGATGAGGAGAGAGATGAGAGGATGAGAGGATGAGGAGAGATGAGGAGACGATGAGAGGATGAGGAGACGATGAGAGGATGAGGAGACGATGAGAGGATGAGGAGACGATGAGGAGATGAGAGGATGAGAGATGACGATGAGAGGATGAGGAGACGATGAGAGGATGAGGAGAGACGATGAGGAGGATGAGGAGACGATGAGAGAGGATGAGGAGGATGAGGAGATGAGAGGATGAGAGGATGAGGAGACGATGAGAGGATGAGGAGAGCGATGAGAGGATGAGGAGACGATGAGAGGATGAGGAGGATGAGGAGACGATGAGAGGATGAGAGAGAGATGATGAGGAGACGATGAGAGGATGAGGAGACGATGAGAGGAGATGAGAGGATGAGAGACGATGAGAGGATGAGAGGAGGCGATGAGAGGATGAGGAGACGATGAGAGGATGAGATGAGGAGACGAGAGAGGATGAGGAGAGATGAGAGGATGAGAGACGATGAGAGGATGAGGAGACGATGAGAGAGAGGATGAGGAGACGATGAGAGGATGAGGACGATGAGAGGATGAGGAGACGATGAGAGGATGAGGAGAGGATGAGAGATGAGGAGACGATGAGAGGATGAGGAGACGATGAGAGGATGAGGAGACGATGAGAGGATGAGGAGACGATGAGAGGATGAGGAGACGATGAGAGGATGAGGAGACGATGAGAGGATGAGGAGACGATGAGAGGATGAGGAGACGATGAGGAGAGGATGAGGAGAGGAGACGATGAGAGGATGAGGAGACGATGAGAGAGGAGATGAGAGGATGAGGAGAGAGAGGAGACGATGAGAGGATGAGGAGACGATGAGAGGATGAGGAGATGAGAGATGAGGAGAGGATGAGAGATGAGGAGACGATGAGAGATGATGAGGAGACGATGAGGGATGAGGATGAGAGGATGAGGAGACGATGAGAGGATGAGGAGACGATGAGAGGATGAGGAGAGAGAGATGAGGAGACGATGAGAGAGATGAGAGATGAGGAGACGATGAGGAGACGATGAGAGGATGAGGAGACGATGAGAGGATGAGAGGATGAGGAGACGATGAGAGGATGAGGAGACGATGAGAGGATGAGGAGAGATGAGACGATGAGGAGAGGATGAGGAGACGATGAGAGGATGAGGAGACGATGAGAGGATGAGGAGAGCGATGAGAGGATGAGGAGACGATGAGAGGATGAGGAGACGATGAGAGGATGAGAGGATGAGGAGACGATGAGAGGATGAGGAGACGATGAGACGATGAGAGGATGAGGAGACGATGAGACGATGAGAGGATGAGGAGACGATGAGAGATGAGGAGGAGACGATGAGAGGATGAGGAGACGATGAGAGGATGAGGAGACGATGAGAGGATGAGGAGGCGATGAGAGGATGAGGAGAGCGATGAGAGGATGAGGAGACGATGAGAGGATGAGGAGACGATGAGAGGATGAGGAGACGATGAGAGGATGAGGAGACGATGAGAGGATGAGGAGACGATGAGAGGATGAGGAGGATGAGGAGAGGATGAGCGATGAGAGGATGAGGAGACGATGAGAGGATGAGGAGGCGATGAGAGGATGAGGAGACGATGAGAGGATGAGGAGGCGATGAGAGGATGAGGATGAGAGGATGAGGAGGAGATGAGGAGGATGAGAGAGAGAGAGATGAGGAGAAGGAGACGATGAGAGGATGAGGAGACGATGAGAGGATGAGGGGGCGATGAGAGGATGAGAGAGAGGATGAGAGGGATGATGAGAGGATGAGGGAGAGGGAAGAGGAGACGATGAGAGGATGAGGAGACGATGAGAGATGAGGATGAGAGGATGAAGGAGGATGAGACGATGAGAGGATGAGAGGATGACGATGAGAGGATGAGGAGAAGGAGGGACGATGAGAGGATGAGGAGAGATGAGAGACGATGAGAGGATGAGGAGACGATGAAGGATGAGAGACGATGAGAGGATGAGGAGAAGGAAGGACGATGAGAGGATGAGGAGAGAAGGAAGGAGACGATGAGAGGATGAGGAGACGATGAGAGGATGAGGAGAAGGAAGGGACGATGAGAGGATGAGGAGAAGGAAGGAGACGATGAGAGAGAGGATGAGGATGAGGAGAGAAGGAGGACGATGAGAGGATGAGGAGAAGGAAGGAGACGATGAGAGGATGAGGAGACGATGAGAGGAAGGAGACGATGAGAGGATGAGGAGAAGGAAGGAGACGATGAGAGGATGAGGAGAAGGAAGGGGACGATGAGAGGATGAGGAGACGATGAGAGGATGAGGAGACGATGAGGAGAAGAGGACGACCGTGCACCTGTAATAGGGGTTTAAATTGGGCAAACTGGTCGCTGATTGGACGAGGAGGAGGTGGGGGGCGGGGTTAAATGAGCAGACTAGGAGCTGATTGGATGAGGAGGAATTTACGCCAGCTCCACGTTCTTGTTACCGCCTGAAAAACCTTACAAGCGTCTGAATAACGCATGGCGGTACGTGTCTCCTCCCCCTCTGCAGACGACCACCCTGATTGGCCTGCTGAAGACGGCGCGGCTGCTGCGATTGGTCCGCGTGGCCAGGAAGCTGGACCGATACTCGGAGTACGGCGCCGCGGTGCTGTTCCTGCTCATGTGCACCTTCGCCCTCATCGCGCACTGGCTCGCCTGCATCTGGTACCGTTTATCAAACTCACACCTCACGTTCATGTCGGAGCGTGTTTCCCAGTGACGCGTAACAAAGTACGGGACGACTTTTTAATTACATGAATCGTACAAGTTACAGCTGAGTTAAAAATAGACAACAGCATAGATACTGACTGGAGCTGTTTGTTTGAAATTAGGTTAGAGTGAGAATATTTAATCATTTTTAAAGGGTCCATCTCTTTTCACATTGTATCTTCTGCACATATACAAGGGTTATGGAACATCCAAAGAGTTCATCAATTAAAAAAAGATTTCTGTAATAGATTTGTGTTTCTCTGCACAAATATTTGAACTTATTGTTATTTTTGGGGTTTATATGACATGAGTTTTCTGATCCGGCCCCTTTGGGATCAAAGTCGGTTGGACACGACCCCCGGACCAAAATGAGTTTGACACCCCTGCTCTATGACTATGATTTTTTGCGATAATTCTTCTTTATGGTTTTGTTTCAGTACTGTCTGTTTACCTCATCACTCTGTCACACTTCAGACTGTGTTTTTGTGACAGATTTACTGTGTCCTCAGGTACGCCATCGGGAACGTGGAGAGAGCGACCTCTGCTGGTATCGGCTGGTTGGACACTTTGGGCGATCAGCTGGGGAAGCCGTACAACGAGTCCGTGGGCAGCTCAGGACCCTCCATCAGAGACAAATACGTGACGGCGCTTTACTTCACCTTCAGCAGTCTGACCAGTGTGGGCTTCGGAAACGTGTCCCCCAACACCAACTCAGAGAAGATCTTCTCCATCTGCGTCATGCTCATCGGAGGTGCGGATCATACGGATAATTTAATGTTCCACAGTATAACAAAAAGAGAAATTCAATTTGTCGACTGGACAAAGGTTTATTTTGGTTGAAGACGTTTCTCACCTCGTCCAAGCTGCTTCTTCAGTTCTGGTCAAACGCTGGTGACACTTCCTTATATCTGTCTGCAGGGAGGAGCTAACTACACTGAAACTACTCTGAAACTAACACACACACTTGTTTCTGTTAGTTACCTTGGTGTATTGGACTTGTTGTGAGTGTGTGGTCATATTAGCAGAATCATTCAGGGCCATGATGGAGTTTTCACACCTTTGTTTTCTTTGTTTTGATTTAGGTTTGAGGATGGAGTTGTAAATCAGAGACAGATGAATCCTCCATTTTGGTTTAAGGAAGGATTTTCTTCCTTAACACAAACTGTAAACAAGTGTGTGTGTGTTAGTTACAGAGTATTTTCAGTGTATTTAGCTCCTCCCTGCAGACAGATATAAGGAAGTGTCCACCAGCGTCTGACCAGAACTGAAGAAGCAGCTTGGACAAGCTGAGAAACGTATTGAACTGAATTTCTCCTTTTGCCCTGGGTTCTACCTGGGCGACTGAGGGATTTTACACACACTGTGGTTCCACAGTATGGCATTAAATATGATTTAAATATGATTCTGAGACATGCAGGTGACCTCAGTAGGACGATTTACAGGTTGTGTCTGTGACAAAGTGCCTCCATCCACAGTCAGAATACATGTTTTTGAAGAAGATCACCTGTGCTTTTGTTATCTATCTATCCATCTATCTATCTATCTATCTAGCTATCTATCCATTTATTCATCTATCTTTCCATCCATCTGTCCATCCATCCGTCATAATTTGGACATTTTAAATCACAGTATTGATCTAAACCAGGAGAGTCAAGCTCAAATTCACATTGGGCCAAAATAAAAAACTGGGACTAAGTCGTGGGTCAAACTAAATATTTATTGTAACATTTCAACAGCATCTGCATGTTTTCTCTTCTTTGGAGATCTGTAATGTTAAACCTTTTCTTATTCAAATAAATGTTTAAACATTGAATCCAGAACAAGCTAAATATTAAATATTTTTTAATAAATAATGTCTCTATAGTCTATCAGTAGCTGGTGGGCCAGTTCTAATACATGTTTGACATGATCTCACGGCCAAATATAATTGTATCGTGGGCCAAATTTGGCCCCTGGGCCTGAGTTTGACATGTCTGATCTAAAACAACTCGATTAAAGAAACAAATCCATTGATTCAGTTTGAAAACTGTGGTGTCCAGTGGGAGCCGACGTCGCTGTAAACGTCATCACATCAAAGCTGCTGATTTCACGGCAAAACACAATATTATCAACAGGGAAAATTTAAATGAAGGAAAAATCATCACATTTTATGATGTGAAAATCAGGCTCATTCTCCTTCTCCCCAAGGCCCTGATGTGCTCCAGTATCTTCAGTATATTTATTGATACTGTTTTACTTCCTCTCTCCGTAGCTCTGATGTACGCCAGTATCTTCGGTAACGTCTCGGCGATTATCCAGCGGCTGTACTCGGGCACGGCGCGGTACCACGCTCAGATGATGAGGGTCCGAGAGTTCATTCGCTTTCACCAGATTCCAAACCCGCTGAGGCAGAGGCTGGAGGAATACTTCCAACACGCCTGGTCCTACACCAACGGCATCGACATGAACGCGGTGAGAGGGCAGCTGAACGTAACCAGAGCTGGACCTAACCTCCACAACATGACGCACAACTGTCCTCACCTGCACTACGTGTGTCTGTACTGTGCACAAAAACACGAGCGCATCTGTGACTCGTTCAGGGTCACTCACTCGTCCAGTAAAGGCAAAAGACGCTTCTCTTTTTTATCAGAAAGTGACATTTACTCAAACCAGGCCCCTGACTCGTAACTACATGTACAAACCGACAGGAATGATCAAATCGTCACTCAGGAGACGGGGCTCTTCCTGTAGGCATTTAGCTCTTTTCAGTGTGGCGTTCTTTTTGTTGAGTTATTTGTGTAGTTGTATTTTTTTCCACCGTGGTTGTGTGAGCGCTTCTGTTGGATTAGTGGACTGCTCTGATTTAATTTTTTTTTCTTTAAGAAACCTGTGGCTCTAAAGTTTGTACAGTTTATTAAGTGTTAGTTTGTGATAAGAAATGCAGAAAGATTCCAGATTTTAAAACATAAAAATAAAAATCATGCAATGCCAATGCCAACATCCATTGTTTGTAAAAGTCTAAACTACAGGATTTGCAGCTTTTACACAGAGACACAGGGACATTTAGTTCTCTGCGTTGCAGTGTTGGGAAGTTTACTTTTAAAATGTAATCCCCTACAGATTACAGATTACACACACCAAAATGTAGTTTGTAATGTAATCCATTAAATTACTGAAGGTGAGTAATGTAATCTGAATACTTTGGATTACTTGATTTGCTGTAGAGAAACAAAGACGAGGAAATCTTCACATAAGAATTTTGTCTGATAAAAGAAAATAAAAAGCCCAAACTTTACTGAACCAAATTAAAAAATATTATTGATAGAAGACGAAGAAACACGTCCACACAGCAGGATTTAGACCTGGTTTAGTCCTGCTTTAGTCCTGGTTTAGACCTGGTTTTAGACCTATTTTAGACCTGGTTACCTCCGCCAAGGAGGTTATGTTTTTGCCGGCGTTTGTCTGTCTGTTTGTTTGTTTGTCTGTTAGCAACAAAACTCAAAAAGTTATGGACCGATTTTGATGAAATTTTCAGGATTTGTTGGAAATGTGAAAAGGAAGAACTGATTTCATTTTGGGGGTGATCCGGAAGAAATCCTGGATTCTGGATCACTTTGAAATTTTAGTTAACATTGTGGTAAATGGGGCCAAAAATTTTGTTTCTCAATATCTCGGTTAATTATTGACCAAACCCCATGAAATTTGACTCAGGGATGGACAATGGGATCCTCTTTCATATTCCAAAGGCTGATCCGGATCTGATCCAGAAGACTGATTTTATCGCAATTTATATAAAAAATGGGGGTAGTCCTTGGCAGAGGTCTGCGCTCTCTGAGTGCTTTTCTAGTTTAGATCTAGTTTAGACCTGGTTTTAGTCCTGCATTAGTCCTGGTTTAGACCTGGTTTTAGACCTATTTTAGACCTAGTTTAGATCTAGTTTAGACCTGGTTTAGTTTCCGGCAATGAGTGGAATTCCCGAAAAAAAAGAAACAAAAAGGGATATAGCCCCAAATGTGAAAACAGGAAAATCCCTCTGTGTAATCCATTTATTTCAACAAGTAACTGTAATCCAATTACCACTCACTGAAACAGTAACTGTAACTGAATACAGTTACTCATCATTTGTACTCTGATTACATAACTCCGGTACATGTAATCTGTTACTCCCCAACACTGCTGAAGCCTTTTGCCTTTATTCAAAATCCAAGTTTCAGTCGATCCTGCTCATTCTTGCAGCCCTTTTACTATTTTGTGTTTTTGACGTAGAAAACTGTTAAATCAGTTTGACTTTCGTGTGCTCTTTGTTCAGGTGTTGAAAGGTTTCCCTGAGTGTCTTCAGGCCGATATCTGTCTCCATCTGAACAGGACTCTGCTGGAGAACTGTAAGGCCTTCAAAGGTAACTCCACTGTTCCGTTTACCTCGAAATAACAAACGAACCAAAAGATCAGTCCAGTGTTTGTATCTGTAACATGTCTTCTGTACGTTTCCAGGGTCGACTAAAGGCTGCCTGCGCTCTTTGGCCATGCGCTTCAAGACGACCCACGCGCCTCCGGGGGATACGCTGGTCCACGCGGGCGATGTGATCTCTGCGCTCTACTTCATCTCCAGAGGCTCCATCGAGATCCTCAGAGGAGACGTGGTGGTGGCCATACTGGGTGAGGAGAGTCTCTCTTCTGTTCGGACTTGATTTAGTCCTAAATGAGGTTATTTCTCAGGTAAAAACGACATCTTTGGAGAACCCATAAACCTGTACGCTCTGCCCGGGAAGAGCAGCTCTGACGTGAGGGCTCTGACCTACTGCGACCTGCACAAGATCCACCGAGAGGACATCCTGGAGGTACAGAACAGACAAGGTCCAAAACACGCGAGAAGAAAGTCCTCACACACACACACACACACACACTATAGGTCCAGTTAATGTGTGTTCTGATTCACAGTTGGTTGCCTTGTTGTGTGTTTTTTTTTTTTTTTGCCGTGTTTTTGTGGTGTCAGGTTCTGGACATGTACCCAGAGTTCTCTGAATATTTCTGGTCCAATCTGGAGATCACCTTCAACCTGCGAGACGTGAGTGTGACCTGCAGTTTGTCAAACTACAACCAGGTTTAAAATTATGATTAAAATGATGATAAAATGTGAAAAGAAGAATCAGGATAAAATGTGGTAAAGAGAATCTTGTTAAAATGTGATAAGAATATTTATGATAAAATATAATGAGAAGAATAATGATAAACTGTGATAAAGATGTGATAATCTGATAATGATAAAACGTGTAGCGCTGATGTCAGGTGAATTATTGACTGAACATCTGTAACTCCAGGCGAACAGTGAAGTGGTTCTGGCTGCAGACGACCCAGAGCTCGAACGATTCAGAAAAACTCTGTTTGACAGAAAGTTCTCCACACCTGTCACAGGTACACACACACCTGCACCTGTCACAGGTACACACACACCTGCACCTGTCACAGGTACACACACACCTGCACCTGTCACAGGTACACACACGCCTGCACCTGTCACAGGTACACACACGCCCGCACTGCACAGGTACACACACGCACCTGTCACAGGTACACACACCTGCACCTGTCACAGGTACACACACGCCTGCACCTGTCACAGGTACACACACGCCTGCACCTGTCACAGGTACACACACGCCTGCACAGGTCACACACGCCCGCGCCTGTCACAGGTACACACGCCTGTCACAGGTACACACACTGCACCTGTCACAGGTACACACACGCCTGTCACAGGTACACACACGCCTGCACCTGTCACAGGTACACACACCTGCACGCCTGCACACTGTCACAGGTACACACACACCTCACAGTACACACTGCACCTGCACCTGTCACAGTACACACAGTACACACACTGCACCTGCACCTGTCACAGGTACACACACACTGCACACACACACTGCACCTGTCACAGGTACACACACACTGCACACTGCACCTGTCACAGGTACACACACACTGCACCTGTCACAGTACACACTGCACCTGTCACAGGTACACACACACTGCACCTGTCACAGGTACACACACCTGCACCTGTCACAGGTACACACACACCTGCACCTGTCACAGGTACACACACACCTGCACACTGTGTCACAGGTACACACACACCTGCACCTGTCACAGGTACAACACACCCTTGTCACAGGTACACACACACCTGTCACAGACTGTCACAGGTACACACACCACTGCACCTGTCACAGGTACACACCACTGCACCTGTCACAGGTACACACACCTACACCTGTCACAGCTGTGTCACAGGTACACACACCTGTGTCACAGTACACACACCTGCACCTGTCACAGGTACACACACACCTACACCTGTCACACACCTGGAGCTTTAAGTGAAACTTGAAGGAAACTTGTGTTTACTGTGAAGCTCGTTACAATATGAAGCCATTGTATTTTCATTATTCATTTCTTTGTTTGTTGATTTGTTTGATTTCCAGGAGACACCAGCGCCGCCCGCAGGCAGAGGGCCTACAGGTGGAGGAGGAGGTTCAGTAACTGGGAGCAGAGGGAGCACAGCAAAGACGAGCATCGATACACTCTGTGAGGACTCATACTGCACATGTGGGACAGACCTGGTTTAGTCCTGGTTTAGTCCTGGTTCAGTCTGTAGTTGATGTGTTTTGTGTTCTTCTTTGGTCATTCACAGATATGGTCCGGTGTTCTCCAGTGATGAAGAGGCAGAAGAACCAGAGTTGAACAGTCCAATTCAGACGACTCTGCTCCACACAGCCCCAAACTGCAGAGGGACGGAGGGAGAGAGGAAGGAGAGAGGGAACGCAATCACAGGTGAAGGAGAGGGGGAAATGTAGAATATAGAACCTTTGAAGACTTGAACTCCATTGGCACATGGATCTGAGTTTGTCCTGGTTTAGTTTGAGGACACATCTGCAGCTTTCCCCTTTTGGGTTAGTCGTATAATGTAACAAATCTCTGGACTGTATTTTTATTGTTTCATTGTGAATCTCTCTGCAGATGCACTGTCAGGCATGTCCAACATCTTCACGCTGTGGGGGGAGAGTCAGGAGCAGAAGTACCAACAAGTCCCCTGTGCGCCGAGCCTCCTGTCCCCCACCAGCCCCGAGGAGAAGCCCCAACCTCCAGAAAAACGCCCTCTACCTCAAAATAACTGCCCCCTCCCTGTAGAAAACCACCCCAAAGCTTCTAGCGCGCCGTCTGCCGTCCCCCCACAGCCTCGCAGTCCCTCCCCGCTGCCCCCCGGTGGTCCTTCTCCCGGCGCGTCCTCAGCCTGCTCCGCGGCGCCCCCTGCCTGTGCCGGCGTGGTCCCACACAGACACAGGGCGGAGATAGAGCGGAGGCTGGACTCGCTGCAGAGGCAGATCGGCAGGTGAGCGTCATCGTCACCGACTCATGTGGTTTTTAAATATTAGAGATCGAGACAAGACGGTGCACGTGTGGAAAATGATCTGGAGATTTTTTTTCTCCTTGTGTTTAAATTGGAATTGGACAAAAAACTTGGCGAGTGCTGGTGAGTTACAACTTTAGAGAGTCCTTCTTGAAAATTAAACATTCAGTCTCAAGATGCTATTCTGTATAAATAAAGAATTAGTAATAAAATAATAACATTTACAGTTCAAACTTAGATCACAATGCTGATTTTCATGCAGTTTGTATCTTTATAAAAGTCATCAAAAGATATCATGCTTCTATTTTTATTTATTTATTTTGCACATATAACAATAAAAAAAAAGAAACACAATAGATAAAAAAGTAGGTGCAGGAAGAGGCAAAAAAAACCCAAAAGGGCGAAATATTAAAGCCTCCACCTTATGAAGACATTAAAAATTGAACATTATCGCTGTGCATAAAAACAAATATATATATATATCTCCAGGCAGACGTTGCAGATTTGCAACAGCTAAATTCCAATGACCTACTGACTCCAAATCCATATTTTATGAGCTTTTTTTTACTCGAGAGCCTTTTCTCCCATCCATGCTGATAAACGTGGACGATGCAGACTGTGCAAGAACGACTACACGCAAACGACCTGCCAGAAGTGCAAAATACTTTTTTTGTTTACAAAAGATAAAAAAGTCAGGATTGTATATTACTACCCCATATGATAATTTTCCCCAAATATCAGATTTTTCCTGGCACTAAAAATTTAATTTGAGCCTGAGGGGGATATATATATATATATATAATGACATTTAAACACCACGGATTAAATTCTTTTGATTCAAACATGGATTAAAACACAATGAAACATCCACAATTGAAAGATGATCAAACATCACCGTGAAATATCAAACATTTCCTCAAACTCTTTTTAAACACCTCAGATCTGCGTCTCAAACCAGATGTGAAAACTGCTCCACAATTTCCCGCCTCTGGATCGTCGGCAAAACTTCACTCTGGATGTGACACATTTTGGAACATGAAAATTTTGATTTTGATGAGTTTTGTATCTATGAATCTCTGCATTGGTTTTAAAATAAAATGTGAAATGTTTGGGGATCGTTGTTGAATTATAAAGAATTTTATACATAAAAATACAAACTTCATAAATATTAATCTCATAGATATTAAGAATGTTAAGTTTGGTGAATAAATGAGCAGATGAATTCTCTCGTGACTTTGCTCTTAACTGAGTAAATCTGTGGTTAAATCCCCCGTCACTCAGAGTCTGATGGGTCTGACCAGGAGCAGGAGGAGGGAGAAATGTGTCTTTGACCAAAGAGGTGGATTAAACAGAATCATGATATGACAAAAACACCACAGGCAGACAGTCACAGGGTGAGATCTGTATCGGCAGGTCACATCGCTCTAATTAATTGGTCCCCGAAGGGTTGACCAGGTTTTGTATTCACCCTGTGCCTGTGTGTGTCTGTGCACCCACGATAATTCCATTTATGGACCGACTGTCACCAAATTTGGTACGTGGGTCAAGCCCCCGTGCCCGATGCCGCAAAAAAAAAAAAGTCTGGATGATCCAAGGTCATTTAAGGTCACACGGGTCAACTGAAAGGTCACACCATTATAAAGGATCGACAATTTCGGCAATTTCTGAACCATCTGCAGCTAAAATATTCACCCAATCGTCACACAAGTTGGCACCCACATAACCGGGCACACTGGATGTTACAGGTTGAAACCGGTCAAGGTCAAATATGTGTTTTTGGTCATAACTCCACGAAGAACCGAGCTCGAGCAACAGGAGTGTCTCAAAATCTCAGAAAAAATTATGATCTATTTATAATTCCATCCATTTGTATAGTCAAATATGAATAGTTTTCCAGATAATCACTAATTCTAACAGTTCCTTTCTCTTTCAGTGTCTGTCATTAAAATTCTAATTGTAACAAAAATTATTTCCATTTCTTGTTTTTCTGGTGATACACGACACACTGATCTACAGTCACACAACTAACACACACACAACTCATGAACAATGACATTTTGGTTCCACACTAGTAAACACAGACATTCTCATGTGTGACCAATATCACACTAATGTTCGTGGGCCTGTACAGATACACACATTGTATTGTGGATATAATGATCATGTGATATGGGCTGGACTCCTCATAAACTGCCTCTGTGCTGATGAACTGAGCCACCGACGCCTCATGGGACCAGGTTGATGTTTCTGATTGAGCTTGTTTGAAAATATATTTATTTAGTTTGAGGTGCAGGGGTCAGTATTAGGCTTTTACACTTTATTTCCTACATTTATATTAAACAACACAGGAATATGACTTGGGTCTACCTGACTTTGACTGGGATGATATTTTTGAGAAAGTGAATCATTTGCTCCCCATGTTAGAGTTGATTCTTGTGCATGTGCAAGATCCTAATAAAATACTGGCCAAAGATTTTGATACGATACATGACTTTTGAATAAATACAGCGTTACTGACATGTCTCCAGCGCATTGAAGACGCTCAAAAGTCAAAAGAGACACATCATGACACAGTTCATGTTTCGTGTGTTGTAGTTTGGAGAGTCGTATGGCCACAGACATCGGGACCATCCTCCAGCTGCTCCAGAAGCAGATCTCCATCCCTCCGTCCTACAGCACCCTCATCTCCTCCTCCGTCGTCGCCTCTCCTCCAGCGGGGGGCAGGGCGTCTCCTGTCGCCTCATCAGCAGAAGGAGGCGTCGCAGCTCCGTCCTCCTCCCGCTCTCCTCCAGCTCCGGGTTGTACGTCACCGCACGCTCCTCCTCCTCCTCCTTACTCTTCTTCTCTCTCTTCTCCTCCTCCTCCCCTCTCTTCTCCCTCTGCTGCTCCTCAAACTCAGATACCTCAAGAACCACCAGCTGAACCTCACCTCCACAACTCCACGTCCGCACAGGTACAGGAAATAAACCCCCCACAGATATTTACTTTATTTTACTACAAATATTTAATTGGAATGTGGGGCAGGAGCGTGCGTATCTTGTATAAAATCCAAACAGTCTCTTCCTGTAAAAACGTATCGTCTCTGGAACTTCTCTCTTCTTCTCTCAGATCAGAAAAGCAGAAACAAAAATTGCTACTAAGGAAAAAAAATAACACTAGTGAGAAACAGCGGGAGTTCCAGAGCATCTAAGAATGAAGCACTAAACTGTAAATGTGAGTCGGGAGAAGTTACAGATTTGGTTATGAACAACACAGCGATCTTCAGTAGAAATGTCTCCTGCGTTTGTGAGCTTTGCCGTGACTGGGCTGGTACGATGGGAGGGCATCTGACACAGCCGTAGTGAGACGTGGTGTTTCTGTTTCAGGAGGAGGAGGAGGAGTGTTTGGAGCAGAGTGCAGAGGACTCAGGACCACGTACGTCTCCATCAGAGGAACCGTGAAGAACCGGCTGAAGCTTTTCATCACAGACTCAGTGACGGAGGGAAGAGCAGCCAGAACTTTTAATCTGACGAAAGACGTACAAAACAAAAACAAATCTGTAGAGGTACTTCTGTTTTAAAACGGGGTATTATTATTATTATTATTATTATTATTATTATGCAAAATATCATGTTTGGGGCTTTGTACCGTGTTATAACGTTGTTCCCTCATCAAAAACACGTCTGAAGCGGTTTGTCATCCATGCATGTTTGACTAAATTAGTGATCTCTCCTTGGCCCTATTTAAACCCTCCTTACGGTTTGCTGTTAGATTCTGTCTAAAGGTTCGTTCACACCAAAGCGTCAAAGCGTCCAGTTTCTATGTAAAGTCGATGTGGACGCGCGACTAGAGCGTCCTGCGTTTTTGCGGCGCGAATCTGGCGTCGACGCTCTAGACGCGCGTCCAAGGAAGTGTCAAGAAGTTGAAAATGCTGAACTATTCGCGTCAGACACACAGCGTCGACCAATCAGGGACGAGTATCCAGAGACGCAGCGACGTTATTATCAGGAAGAAAAAAACCCGAGAACCACAAACATGAACGGAGAATAAATATATACACCACAATCACCAAGGACTAAACCAGGACTAAACCAGGACCGGACCAGGACTAAACCAGGACTAAACCAGGACTAGACCAGGACTAAACAAGGACTAGACCGGGAGTAGACCGAGACTAGACCGAGACTAGACCGAGACTAGACCGAGACTAGACCGGGACCAAAGCAGGACTAGACCAGGACTAAACAAGGACCAGACCAGGAGTAGACCGAGACTAGACCGAGACTAGACCGGGACCAAACCAGGACTAAACAAGGACCAGACCGGGAGTATACCGAGACTAGACCGAGACTAGACCTGGACCAAACCAGGACTAGACCAGGACTAAACAAGGACTAGACCCTGAATAGAGCGAGACTAAACCACGACTAGACCGGGACTAGACCAGGACTAAACCGTGATTAGACCAGGACTAAACCAGGACTGATCCAGTGTCATTAGTGGAGTATAAATATAAACACGCTCCAGTCGCTGATGTTTCATGTCATAAAAACACTAAAGTCTCTCAGTCTGGTCTGACATTGTTTCGGGAAAAGACCAGGACCGGGCTCTTGTTTCCAGGGCAACGGACGCGCGTCAAGTATTTTTCTCCCGTTCGTCCACGGCGTCAAAGACACGAGCGTCGGGGGCGTCTAAACTCAAATGCAAAGGCTCCAAATAGAAACGTCAAGGTGTTTTTTGACGCTTTGGTGTGAACGGCTCTTACGTCTTCGTCCCCCAGGCTCCCACACGACAAATCTCCATAAATCTACAAAAACATGATACAAAATAGGGCTGTGCGATATGGAGGGAAAAAAAAATCTTGATATATTTTACTGTATCTCGTTATCTGTACAGGACAAAATAACCCCCCTCAAATTACTGCAAAAACAAATCTGCCGAATTCCACAGTGTTCATTTAGGAACAAAGTGCTTCTGTGACATTAAAAAGACTGAATACAAAAATAATAACATAAAGGAAGAAATAAACAACTCATCAACTCATCTCCAGTTGTTAACCTTATGATAACCAGAACCATGAGCTCCTTTAGCAGAGGAAAGTCGGGAGGTTTCTTATTTTAACAGATCCATGTTCCTCACCAGTGTCAGGAGCTATTAACTGTCCCACGTTGTAAAGTTACACTGCAGCAGATCCATCCGTCCATTTTCTTCCGCTTATCTGTGTGTCAGTCTTCGTTCCTCCCCTCACCTCTGCTCGTGAGCTCTGGGTAATGACCGAAAGGACGGGATCGCGGATACAAGCGACACAAATGAGTTTCCTCCGCAGAGTGTTTACATCCAGTGTGCGTTCAGAATTACTGCTTGAAGCGACCTGTCTAGAAATAATTTATCGACCGACGCGTCAGTTTTTAGACACTTCGTCTGCTTCAGTCGCGCCGTTGCTGGAAGGGATCTCCAAGAACTCAGTTTGTCTTCGCTCCTTTTCCTCTTCTCTTCTTCTTTCGGCGACCTCAAAAACCGACTTTGTTTTGCGGCGAACCGGTCGCGGATTCTCGTCCGCCGTCGCGACAAACTTTGTGCGAACTGCGAGAAAGCGACAGTTTGAAAAAGCCTCCAAGAACCGCTGCATAAACCACATAATCCCAGCGCGCCGGCGAGTCAGTTACACTAGAAACGTAGGGAGTTTGATTGGCGACCTAACAGCCAATAGAAAATGAGGCAGCCTCGTTTTCTATTGGCTGATGTTTATCTGGCCTCAACACGTCCACAGTTGATGGATTTTCATTCTTTTTTTTTTTGGTCATCATTATTCCAAGGCTGCTGCGTCTCTGTAATGGTATTTTAAACTTTCACTGACAATTTGAAACAAAACAAAAAAAATCCTCCATACAACCTTTCAGTGCGTGGGACTGTGGCAGGAGCAGATCAAACCGTGAGGAGTGGAGCATTTTAAGGCACTGATGCAGATTCTAGAACTGTTCCCCCACAGAGAAACTCACTGCTCCCAGTTTCGTACTTAAACTTATTTGTGTTAAAATATTCTCTGCACTGTGATCAAATATCCTCAAGTCTAAACTGCATTTTCACCGCTGTAAATACTGTAATTATTGTGCCACTGTTATTTGTACAATTACATTATATTTATTATTTATGTATTTATTTACAATGACATTATGCAATAATGTTGTACGTAAAAAAAAAAGTGCATGTCTTCCTCTTATTTAGAAAACAGACAGGAAAAGTTGTCTGTGCTGTTATTTAGATGATGCAAAAGGACTTTTAAATATAACTCTGTGTAAAAGCTTAAAGGGAAACAAAAGACTGACGCTCTAAACCCGGAGGCAGACTGAGACTTCTTTTGTCACTGTCAGATCCATTTCCTTACTCATCTTCTGCTACGTTCAGACCACGGAGATAAAACCACAGCAAAAGCGCAGAGGCTGCACCAGCGCTGGTTCAGGATCGGCTGCAGGTTCTGGGGTTTAGGGACTGAACGTTCAGATCAGAGAAACATTTTAGGTTTAAACCGACTGGATTTCACGTGAGGCTCGTTCTGCTCTGGAGAATCGTGTTGAGACTCAAAACCCCAAATGAAAATATCAACAGTAAAATGCTTTTGTAATTAAGATATTCAGAAGATTATAGATTATACGAAAGAGTAATATTTGATTTGAACGTGTTTACTTTGGATCTGGGGACACAGGTGGTAGAGCCCTGCAGTCCCGCGGGACCCGACGCAAAACAGTGCGACGCGGGACAAATTTTGAGAGCTCACTGCGGGCGCGGGCGGGAGCGAGACGGCACAACGCGGGAGCGGGCGGGAGGGATGATAACCTGCAGTCCCGCAAACTAAATATGAGTGTAAAGTAAAATATACAAATGAATGTAAGAATATCATGCATCATTTGTGCTGGACATTTTATTTGGCATTAATAAAAACATTTTAAGCAGCAGACGTTCACCCTCCTGTACGCTGCGCGAAGAGTCCCCCCTTCCGTAGGCCGCGCGGAGTGTCCACCGTCTCGTACGCCGCGCGGAGTCCACCCTCGTCTCGTACGCCGCACGGAGAGTCCACCCTCGTCTCGTACGCCGCACGGAGAGTCCACCCTCGTCTCGTACGCCGCACGGAGAGTCCACCCTCGTCTCACACGCCGCACGGAGAGTCCACCCTCGTCTCGTACGCCGCACGGAGAGTCCACCCTCGTCTCGTACACCGCGTGGAGAGTCCACTTTCCCGTACGCCGCGCGGAGTGTCCACCGTCTCGTGCGCCGCGCGGAGAGTCTCCCCTCGTCCCGTACGTCGCGCGGGCTACGCCACTAATCCAGAATCCAGAATCCACTAAACCAGGGCTAAAACAGGTCTAAAACCAGGACTAAAACCAGGACTAAAACAGGATTTGGCCAGGACTTAACCATGCCGCCGGACCGCCCACCGCGCCTCCCCTCATACGCAGCCCAGTTTCTTTCGCTTCTCTGTGTTTGAAAGAGCTTAAGAAAGCAAAGGTTCCCATCCTGCGGAACTTGCGGGCGGGCGCGGGACAAAATATCACAGGTGCGGGCGGGAGCGGGACTGAAACATCTGTCCCGCGCAGACCTCTAACAGGTGGTTCATGTTTCTGTGATATTTTTCCTTAAACATCACAGCCCAGATAAGTTTCATTTAGATTCTTGAATATTCAGTTTGCCATGTTAAGTTTTATCTTTGGTCTCTCAAATATCTCCTGTTTTCCAGCGAGATAAAAATGTAAGATTTGGTTGTCACTAGAATCAATACGAATGATTGACATCTGGAACAGCCAATCAGATTAAAGCTCCCTGGGGAATCCTGCCTTCTGCCATTATCTGATATGTGATTGGTTAAAGTATCAGACAGTGTCATTATCGCTGTATAATGTTCAATCGTTGTGTCTGTTTTTGTCTTGATCTGTCGGTTTTATGGTTGATATTATATCTATAAGGATTATAATAAAATAGATGTGAGGAGGTTAGAGAAAGCAGAGATCGTCCTGGAGACGTTTGCACAATTATAAACTGTGAAAATAAACATATTTATTATTAAAACAGTGACACTAAAAGCCCCGTGTTTCTGATTTCTTTTGTGTTTGTTCTTTTTTCTCATCAACAGAAAACTACTGACCTGAAAATAAAGAAACGTATTCGGATTTATACAGCACTTAAACTTAAAAAAGCATTTAGCATTTTTCATTCACTCCACGCAGTGTTGGGAGTAACGGGTTATAACAGTAACGAATTACTGTGCTGTGTTGCTTTTTTCTGTAGCGCAGTAATGTGGCGTTAAAGGGGAACATTTTTTTAAATATTTTACTGTGTACAAATGTGAGTAACACGTGTTATAATGCATTTTTAACCTGGATTGAAGTGGTGGGTTTTTCATTTTTCTTCATACAAATTCGTTAAAATCACAGCGACATCAGCAGCGGTGAAACGCCGGAGACGCGCCCACGTAAACCGTCAGGTGACCGCGGGCGAAAGGACCGACGCAGAACTCCACGATCCACAGGGCGAAACGCAACTGACGCCCGATTGTGCCTTGCAGGATTCTAAGGTCTAGTCCAAGATTAGACCTGGTTTAGTCTTGGTTTAGTTCACACACACAGACACACACACACACACACACACACACACACACACAGACACACACACACACACACACACAGACACACACACACACACAACACACACACACACACACACACACACAGACACACACACAGACACACACACACACACACACAGACACACACAACACACACAGACACACACACACACACACACACACACACACACACAGACACACACAGACACACACACACACACACACACACACACAGACACACACACACACACACACAACACACACAGACACACACAACACACACACACACACACACACACAGACACACACACACACACACACACACACACACACACAGACACACACAAACACACACACACACACAGACACACACACACACACACACACACAGACACACACACACACACACACACAGACACACACAGACACACACAGACACACACACACACACACACACACACAGACACACACACACACACACAGACACACACACACACACACACACACACACACACAGACACACACACACACACACACACACAGACACACACACACACACACACACAGAGACACACACACACACAACACACACACACACACACACACACACTGACACACACACACACACACACACACACAGACACACACACACACACAGACACACACACACACACACACACACACACACACACACACACACACACACACAACACACAAACACACACACATGCACACACACCACATTCATACTAGATAATGTGAGTGAAGTGTCTTGCCAAAGGACATAACAGTGTTTTTGTCACAGGTCCCTCAGTGGCACCTGGTCTGTCTGTGGTCTTAGGTTTGGAGATCTGAGGAGATTGGCCTTTGACAAGTTCTATGGCCTAAATTCAGTTCATTTCAATTTTCTTTAATTTAATTTAGGATTGTACAAGTTTTTGTTAGTTTCATCACAGATACTTTTACCAGAGGGAAGCACCTTCTGTCTTCCTGCTGCATCTATTCACAGACAATAACATGGCGCCCTCTGCTGGAGCTCAGTGACACTGCACCTCAGTCACACAGGTGTGGTTCAGATCGTCAGGTGACTGTAGAAAGTGAAAGTAACAGACGTGTTCAGAGACGACGCTGACACAGTGAGTATTTCTTGTGCTTAATATATAAAATAATGGAACAATGGTTTATCCTGTGTCCTACATACACAATACTCAAAATTAAATCTAAAAACAGAGACAATTTACAAACAAGAGACACGTTTTTCACTTTAAACATGAATTCAGAAAATAAAAGTGTCATATTTTTAGACAATAACTTGCAGAATTTAACGAGCTTCAGTCCTTGTTTACAGAGTGCTTCCTTAAAATAAACTTTATATTTCCTGGTTGGAAATGTGACATGTAATTATAAGTTTTAAGATTGTTAAACCACATAAAACTTGGAATCTTAATATGTATTTTCAGGCCTCTTTTTGTGACCTGATGTAGACCTCTTTTAAACATGGTTGGTGTTGGTTAATACCAGGTTGAGTATTTGTTTAGTACTAGTTTAGTCTCGGTTTAGTTCTGTTTGGATCTGTGTGGTTCTGGTTTAATCATGGTCTAATGGTGCGTCACGTGGTATGAAAAAGATGATGTTTTGCTGTTGTTGTTGTAGTGAAACATGGTGGACTCAGACATTCCAGATCCGCACAGTTAAGGAAGTGAAATCATTTGAAACACGATCACGCCCAGTGAAGTGTGATGTGGTCATGTGTCCAGCAGAGGGAGACACAGACCGATCAGACCTGAAGAGAAGTGCAGAGCAGAGACACACAGTCCACACAGTAACTCCACATTAGAAGAACAGAGCTTCAAAACAGGACACATCTCTAATCCAAGTGTCATTTGTTTATTCGTATTTCAATATAAAACCAAAAAATAAGAAAACAAAAAAAAACAAAACAAGTATTTTCTTCATTATTTGTCTCCAAAACCAAAATGAAAACAGTTTTTTTGGTTTTTGATTTTGTGTTTAAATGAAAAATGGAAAAAACAGATAACGCTGGTTTCCCGTTTTCGTGACTTCAGTGACTGCGATGCCGGATTTTTGCACCGCATACGGGCTTAAGCAGGACTAAACCAGGACTAAAACAGGACTAAACCTTTTTCAGTCCTGGTCTGGTCCTGGTCTCAGTCCCGGTCATGTTCCGGTCTCAGTACTGGTCCTGATCCCGGTCTCAATCCTGGTCTCAGTTCTGGTCTGATCCCAGGCTCAGTCCCGATCTCAGTTCCGGACATGGTCCTGGTCTCAGTCCTGGTCTGGTCCCGGACCTGGTTTAGTCCTGGTTCAGTCCAGCATCGCAGTTTAAGTCACATAAACGGGAAACGGCTGTTATCCTTTTTTTTTTTTTTTTCCCCATTTTTCATTTAAACAGAAAATTGAAAACTGAAAAAAATAATGTTTTTCCATTTTGGTTCTGGAGACAAATAATGAAAGAAAATTGTTATTTTTTAATTTTCTTATTTTTGGTTTTATATTGAAAAACGAATGAAGGAATGACACACGGACTGTCTTCTTCTCTTCTGATTCCAGCTCCTACAACATGGACCCACCTGGACCTGGCCCCGGGTCTAAACCCAGACCTGAACCTGCTCCCAGCTCTGTGTCTCTGAAAAGTGACCGTTCCAAAGGCAAACCTCCAGACTTTAGTGAAGCTCGTCCTGAAGATCAGAGGTGAGACATTTGAACAGGTCTTTTCACACTGATAAACAGAGACTAAAGTGAGTAGGACTGTTACTGTGTGACTGTCTCCTCAGTCAAACACATTATTCACTCTGTATCTTCTTTCCTGTTTTGTCCTGGTCATGTGCTCCAGAGGGTCAGACTTACACAGACATAAGTTTAAACTACTGCAGAACACATGAGCTGCACTGACTCTACACTGCCCCCTGTGGACGAGCACTGACAACACACTCTGTCTGAGCTGAAATACAGTAATGCCTCATTTAACTCAACATCTTTAGAAATATGAAGTCTAAAGATTTCTGTTCTGAAAACTGTGTGAAAGACATGTAACTGAGTGGGTAGGTTAGGGTCTCCCTTTTTTTAACTCACACAATTTGTCTGACATAAAAAAGGGCTATGTGGTATTAAAAAAAATAAATAAAAGTTTAGTATACTCAAGGGTTAAAAGTTATTTCATTTTTTTCAGGTGCACCGATAAATGACAAACAACCAACAAATTAAATTCTACATTTACAAAATCAACCATAAAAATAAAGTTAGTAAAGTCAAACCAAACATTAATGAAAAACAAACCAAACTAATTAAACTCTACATTTACAATAAGTGCTAGTGTTGTGCAAACATGAATGATGTGCTAATTGGTATTTTAAGTGTGTGTGCTGAAGTACTTGTACAGGCTTTGGTGTTAAGTTTATGTACATGGACGTCGAGATGGTTAAAGTGACTTGTACCAAGGAGCCGATCTGGGCTAAAGTGACTTGTAACAACATAACTTACATATATATATAATATATATATATATAAATATATAACATATATATATAATATATAAAATGTGAACAAGACCTCAGCTATTATCCCACAACATTCATCAAATAAGAACTAACAGTAAGAATAGAGAGCAAGAACCTGTCTACTGCAATCCTCAGTTGCTCAGTCTTTCATTGTCAGTGCCAGAGGATGTTCTCTGAATCATCCTGATTCTCATGGTCTGATCAGAGA